GTTTTGAGGGAAATAATAGAAGGCGATTTGGCACAGAAAAGACTGTCCAATTTAGTTTTGTTGTTTTTATATTAATGGTTATATTAAATTTTAAACATTTTAGTTATCATATGGGTGATTGATGTGATTTCATTGAATTATTTAGACCTAAATGAAGATCTTAGAAGACATATAATGTGTGTAAAATATTATAAATCTATAGTTAATAGTTTATTTGAAATTCCCATTTAGTTGCTTGTAGATAAAAATATATAATTTAAATAAGGAAGATTTTTTTTTTATTTGATTGAGAAGCAATATTTTATTTAATTAAAAATAATTTTTAAGAATTTTATAGATTTTAAAATGATGGATAGTTTTAATAATATGAAATCAAATGATGGCATTAACAAAGTTAAATGTTTCGCGCTAATTAACTAAGGCATCGTTTGGGACAGATTTTGACTATTGCTTTTTCATTATTTTTCAGCGTATTTACACTCAAGCAAATATTTATGCTCAGGCATTTAGGTAAAAAATGTCAACAATTGGTTTGAAATTACTTATAATATATTTTTAAGAGCAATTGATTTTGCAAGGATAACACATTTTTGTCAAGGATGTCTTGATTTGAGCTTAAAGAAACTTAAATCAAATATTTTTAAGTATAATTAAAATTTTCTCAATGCCATATGGAGAAGTTAATGTGCTTTGAACTTTGTTTGCATAAATTCAAAATGAATGTATTGGCGAGGTGCAGTAGGCAGGCTTAAGATCATGCAATTTTGATTCATTAAGATTAAAAAAAAAAGAGTATCAAATGAGCCAATTTAGACCATATGATTGAATGTATTCATGGAGAGGATTTTCAGCCTTTAAGAAACTCAAATTCTATTTATTATCACCCAACATCAAATGTTGATTAATGTTGGTGTCTATCATCATCATCATCATCATCATTAGACAACGATCATCGATTGACATTGATGCCTTCCATAGTGATAATTAAAAGTCACTTGTTGATTTTGATTTATCAATCACTCATTCTACATGGAAAATTCTAGATGTTTCCTAATCTTTGACATTCCTCATTAACTATTTGTAACATTCAATAGTATTTTCTCGGTTGCTTGATCCCCTCTCTTATAAAGAGTGAATATATTAGAACACTAAATGTTGCTCGACCTCTGATATTCCTCATTGATCGCTTCTTGGTGCATAGTAGGAATGAATACCGACATTTGCCAACCACAAAAATCTATTTCAAGTCTTTCTAGTCATTTGATTTCCCTTCTTAAATTGAGAATAATCAAGTTAGATCGCTTATCTTTGTCCGACCTCCAATGTTTTCCATCGATTGTTGTCTGATGGATACCAATGTGGCAATGAGTGGTGTTTGATGCTTGTTAGCTATTTAAGTCCAATATAAGCCTTCCTAATTATCTTATGTCATCTTCAATAAGTAGGAACAATCAAGTAAGATAGATTGATATTATCCAACAGAGCCCTGCATTGGGTACCCATACCCACACCCACCCATACCCAATGGGCATGGGTGGGTATGGGTACGCCCATAGCCTCGTGGATGGGTATGGGTGGGTACTCAACATCAGAGGAGAACCAATTTACATTACTAATCATCATATACATGCAGTATATTATAATAATCCTTACTACACAGTGCGCAACACTTAACCGAGTCACGATCATGATAAATTTTGATATGTGGCTTGAAAGTTTGCAGTCAAAGAAAATGACAAAAAACCTCAAGGCCATTATTCTATGGCAGACTGCATTCAATAAGCTTGGAAAGTGGGTGGGTGTGGGTGGATATGACATCCGGAAAGTCACCATAGGTGGGTGTGGGTGGGCAAAGCCCGCCAGTGCAGAGCGTGGGTACCCAACCAAGACCCCATGTAGGGCTCTGTTATCCAACCTCTGATTCTCCACATCGGCCATCACATAATGTGAACCATCAAATGACAAATGACTCTTATCTTCCCGATTACTTGGTCTCCTAATCTCTGATGTCCTTCATCGATCATTTTCTAATGACTACCAAAGAGTAATGCTTGATGTATATCATCCGATGATGCCCGATTCATATATTCCATAGTTTCTTCTATGTTCTTCTATAAAGAAAGTGATTCAACATTCCTCCTCGATAGTTAATTGATGCTAACCAATGTCTATCTTCTAACATTTGTTAGCCTTTGATGTATAACACAAAATTTTCCAATTGCTCAATATTTGATTAAGCTAATTGCTCACCATCACTTTCGGCATACGTGCAAACATAATAATATTATGCATTTAAACAAGTTTATGCATATGCCGTGTATTCTAACTTGCTCCTCTATAAATTTTATTTAAATTTGTTCAATTCCTAAAAATAAGTTGACGGTAAAACTAGCTTGTGACGCAATTGACTGTAAAAGTTTCAGTTTATGCTTGTCCATATCTTGAAGAAAAAGAAAGCTGCCAGCATCATTTGAAAGTCTCCTACTTTTCCTCTCCTTCTCTCAAACAATCAAAGTCTTTAATCTCATGATTTTCATCCTCTTCTCCTCTCCTCTTCTTCTCAGGCAAAAAGGTCTCACTGTGTCTCTTTTTACAATTGGGGCTTCATTAAATTGAAAATATATTTTCTAACTTCGAGAAGCTAAGGGCATCTCCAACCGAAAACTTCATTTTTCACGGCAAAGTAACGCAAAACTCCAAAATGGCGCGGTGATGCTCCAATCGAACGCCATTTTAGGTGTTTTTGAGAAGGTAACGATCGCCCTCCCTTTCGCGCGTTTTTCCGGTTGAGAGCAAAAAATGGCGTGAGTGAACTGCAACGCCAATATTGGCGTCGCACTGTTCATCCGCGATCAAATGGCGTAAAAAATGACGATCGGTTGGAGCAAAACAAGAACGGCAAACAAGTGTTTGCCGTTCGGTTGGAGATGCCCTAATGAGCCATTGCCTATTTATCTTCTCTTTGAAAGTTTTGGTGATTTGTAAGCAGATTTGTAAGGGATGGCCTGATTCTCTTTGAAATAAGATTTTTCTTTTATTTTCAAACATCAATTTGAGATAGAGAATAATAATATCTAATTATATATATACTGTTGCTAATTGTTTGATTAGTATTGTAGCACATGGTTAATTAAACTTTGTTTAAGTTTTGATTTAGTTATTTATCAAGTTGTTGAACATAAGACAAAATAAATAAAATTGTGAATTTTGAGTAATGAATATTTTAAACATCATAGAAATTAAAATGCATATTGTTCAAAGTAAATTTATCATATCAACATCAAGCCTATATCCCATTACATGGGGTTGGCTACATGATTTTTTTTTTCATTGTTTCCTTATAAGAGTCAAATTCTCATTAAAATCTAATAAAGAAATATCATTTCTAATATTTTCTAACCAAATCTTTATAGATTTACATCTACCTTTCTTAACATAAGCCAAATCTAATACATATACTCTCTTAATCGTGATATCAGAAGGCCACCGTTTATGTGACCAAATCATCTAAGGTGAGTCTCTCTAATCTTATTTTCCATTGGAGCTGCTCTAACCTTTTCATGTATATGCTCTTTTTGTATCATGTCTGTAAGAGTAAAGCCACTCATCTACTTGAGCATCCTTATCTTTGCAACATTTAACTTAATATTATGCTTCTTTTTTAATGGCCAACATTCTACGCCATAAAGCATTCAAAATAAAGTCACCATTAATTAAAATTAACCTGTTTCATCTGACCATGGTTAGATGAACACCACATAATGAATGTTTCTATTCAACTTGCAAGCACATAATCTTCTAGTCTGGTATTGGAATCTCTCTCTCACACCCTATATGTTCCCTTCAACAACAATAACATCAAGACTTTATACCACTATATGGGGTCGGCTACATGAATCATTTTTCTCCATTGTGTCCTGTTAAGAGTCAAATTCTCATTTAGATTTAATTGAGAAATGTCATTTCTAATAATTTCTAACCAAGTCTTTTTAGGTCCACCCCTACCTTTCTTAAAATAGGTTAAATCTAATACATCTACTCTCCTAACCGGGTCATCGGAAGGCCGCCGTTTTATATGACCAAACCATCTAAGACGGCTCTTTCTAATCTTATCTACCACTGGAGCTACTCCAACTTTTTCACGTATATGCTCATCTCATATCCTGTCTCTAAGAGTAAAGCCACTAATCCACCGGAGCATCCTCATCTCTGTAACACTTAACTTAAAAATTAAATGAAAGGTCTTCAAATATTAAAAATAAAACGAACTTCTCCTCTTTTCAGAAAGTTGTCGTTTGAGAATAGCAATAAATTTGCTGCATCAGATAGCCAGATATCCAAAACAAAAATGTCTCATAAAAAATGCATGTATGAATGTATATCTTTAACCCCAGGTCCTATCCAGTTTAGCATGTAATGGCATGGTTCAATTACCTTCAATCAGCCATCCATTCCACTTTGATAGTTGAGATTATGTCAAATAGATCAAGAGGAAAACCAGAGGGTCATCTAAGTTATCTAAACTAGTCTACATGCCCTGGGATCAAATAGTCCCAGTGTTTAACAATAAGTGCAAAGTGCATAAGTTGGAGAGGAATCCCATAAAATCTAAATGCGCCCATCAGGGGGACACAATATAGAGCTCAGAGCTGATTGAGATTTGCAAGCTGTAACTTGCTTTGAAATTTTTCAGTAAATAAACCATGGATTTCTAACCCTCTCTGATGTGGAGAGAGAAATGTTGGATCGTTAGAAGAAGATGATTGAAGGGATTCCAAGAACAAGAAGAACAAATCAAGCTCAAAGGCTTAAAATTATGTAATATTCATCATCCATCCTACTACAATGCTTACATATATATAAAATAGCTATAGAATGTTCTAGAAAACTTGTAACAAACTAAATAAGTTATTTCTTAGATAGGCAATAACTATGATGTTCCACATCACTCTCCATTTAAACTAAATGTAACATAACACAATGGCTCGTACAACAATACATACTTAACTAATAGCAGTATTATTCTCATAGCAACACTCAACACAACCTCAACGCATTTTACAGGATTATTCTCATAGCAGTGAGATCAGCACTAATTTTCCATACCACTTTGGGAGAATTTATAATATTAACCACAATGCATAAATTGCCCTCTAATATACAAATTGAAAGAGAATGTAATTTGATTAGCATAAAAAGACACTTGAATTAAATGCTTCAATTAGTTGAATGTCAAAAGATAGCAACTGAACAGCAAAATCAAACAGAGTAACTAGAGGAAGAACTGATTATGGAAAGTTTACCGGCATCCTAACTCAGCTCGTCCCTCCTCATTTATGGTAGAGTTTGTGCAGAGTTTCTGAAGATCAATGTATCCTATTATAGTATCTTCGAACACAGCATCTTGAAGTTGAGCATTGTCAAAGGTGGAACCTGACAAAACCGTGTTCTTAAAGACTGCTCCCTGAAGATTGGCTTTTCCAAAATTGACACGATCAATTACAGCATTTGAAAAATCCACACCTGCAAGATTATCATATTTAGTTTTAGTTGTTTACACAAACATAGACCAAAGCGATATTGAAACTTAATGTGGATATTATGAACATCAAGCACCCACTTTTATGTGATAATCTAAGGCTTCGTTTGGGACAGCTTTCTTCTTGCTTTTTAAAAGTAACTTTTTTGTACAATTTTTTTTTTTCAAAAAAGTTTTATACTGAATAGATGCTTTAAGAAACAACAAGAAAACTATCCCAAACAAAACCTAAATAAAGATTTGTGATCGGCTGCATAATTTAAACCTCAATGTTTTAGTATGTGGTTTGAGGACAGTGGCAATCGATAGCTGCTTTTACATTTTGGGTGGCCTAACTGGTAAGAGGATAGAATCAAGATAGCTTGGTTTTGGGGTTGAAACGTATAAGGCCAAATAAACTAGTCATCATCATTAGCCTTATTCCAATTATTAGAGGTTAGCTTTATGAATCCTAATTTTCTATTTGCTTTTATTTCTTGTTTCCTGAATTATTAAATCTAGTTTTCATAAATCATTTTGAACAATGTATAACTATGTTACTTAAGATCTACACATTTTTCCATCCTAATACAACCATATTAATTTTATTTATCCATCAAATGGGTATATTTACAATTAACTACACTTGAATGTAAATATACAAACCACCTAGAATCTATTTTCAATTGCCTTATCTTCAATAAATGTCACCTGATTTTCTAATATAACCTACAATGAGATATAAGATGAAAACACAAACAAATTAAAAATTCACAATTTACTAATGCATAATTATTGAAAAACTTGCTGCTTTTAATAAAAGGGCAGCAAAATATGTTCCAAAAAATACTTTAGTAATCACCTCAAAATCTAAAATTCCACAAGAAAATAACTGAGTAATAATATTCAGCAATAAATCGAGCCACACTTCAAGCAAAATTTTGGCACATATATTACTAGACAAAATCTCAATCATTCACTCGAAATCAGTGACTAAGCAATATAAATGATAAGGATGAGGATAGAAATCAGACCAAAAGGAAAAAAATAAAGCTTCACCACATTACAACGAGTTGCCCCTTCAAAGTAGTCATCCATAACTATGAAACATTCAAAGAATATACATTTAAAATTACATTAAATCTGCCTATATCTCTTCAAACAGTTTTCAATACATTCAACATTAATTCCAACAGAAGAAACTTTTCCACAAATCCCACTTTCTCATTTGTAAAGTTCAATTCACATTTTACTCCAGGAAACTATCGATTTGGAAAGGTGCATCACCGACAGGGACAGGACAAAGTTCATGCATATATCCTATCAAGGTTTATATGGAATAGGTAACGGTATATGAAGTCTTGTGCTGTCTTACTTGGTCTTAGCTACTCTAAATTGTAAAGATAAGAAAATTTTATGTAGATAAATCAGGAATGCCAAATAGAGTTCCACTAGACAGAAAACCATCATTAGTCTTGAATTATTTATAATACATTGGTGAAACACTAGTTCAATTGAGGTACATTAAAATCTTTACAATTTGTATGGTCTTTCTTAATACTCACAAATCTATGGTTTTATTGTCAATTCCAGCACAATGTCTTAACAAAAAAGTGTATTACTGTAAAAAATTCGACTCATTTGGCATGCATATGTTATAGTTTTTTTTTTTAGTTCAGATATTTTAGAGCCTGGTGATCTAAATATAAGACAATTTACTTCATCAATAAACAATGTCAATATTAAAGTGACTGTACAACATAAAACTCTCCATCATAATTAGAATATTTTTTATTTTACATCATTTAATTTTTTACTAAAATAATCAATTGAGTGTCCATCCTAATTGAATACTCCAATTCCTATGCCAAAGGGATTATAGAAAACCTAATTTTTTTTATTAAAATAGGCAATTTTAATATAGGCACAATAGCAAGTTTCTCCATGATATTATTGAAGGCATGTTCAATAGATTTCAAAAATTTAAATCCTCCCTCTTTTAAGACAATTAGGAATTAGTGCTATGACACTACTAAACCCTTTGATAAATCTTCAATAAAAGGTTGTTAAATAGTAAAAACTCTAAGTATTATGGATACTGGAAGGTTCTGTCTAATATCTAATATATTTAACATTTTTTAGGTCAACAAACAATATAAATCTCAAGAATATAATGGATGGAAAGACAAATCAATACTGTTTTCATAAACACATAAATTTTCAAACTGTTAACTTTTCAAAGAATTTATTAGGATGTGTTAAATGTTCCTCCCTTAATTTGCTATGAATCACAATGTTGTCAAAGCATACAACTGGAATTTTTTCAATAAAAAGTCTCAGAACAAAGAATCATAATCCTCATCCCAACGCCTATGCTAATCATTTAAATAAACCATCATTTATCTTAAAAGAGGTTTTCCACTCATTCTTATAATAGTAACCACTCAAATCAAAATTTGAGAAAACCATAGCCACAATCATTATGTCTAACCCATCATCTAATCTTTATAAAGGAAATTGATAATTGATCATTATCTTATTAATTGTCAAATATCCACATACATTTTTTCAACTTTTATCTACATTTTTCAACTTCTATCCTTTTTAAGCGCAACATTTATTGTGCAAGAACTCACGCTCTCTCTAAAAAATCCTTTTTAATGCCTAATCCACCTGTCTTTTCAATTATATATGTTCAATTGAGTTCATCCTATAATGGAGTATGTGGGGTCTGATGACCCAATAAAGTCTTAGATATCCCTAAGTGGTTATAGTATATCAGATTGCTCATAAGGGGCACAATTCCTTAAATTCAAAGAGCAACTGACTAACATCTTAAGCCATTGATATGCTTTCAATTGCATCTTGATTTAATTCTATAGATATCAAGACAAAAATTATCCCTTCAACTCAGTATTTCTCTCAAAAAGCATGTAGATATCCTCTTTTTGTTTGTACTATATATCAAAGATCAATACTCTGATACTAACTTAATATTTTACAAACCTTTCAATGCTATTGTGTAACCCACAATGAGAGGCTAAAATGGTTAGAAAATATTATAGGAATTCAATTAAGGTAACCCTAATTAAATTCATTAGTCATTAGGGTTTCTCTTAAAAGAATTACTATAACATTTTAATCATTCTAGCCTATCATTATAGACTGTGCAAAAATACTGAGAGGTTGGCTTCAAAGCAACATTTCACCTGTGACTTTTCTCTTCCACATCCAAAAATATGATAGTTCATTTAGACATTATAAAAAATTTACAGAGAAATTATTTCACATAGAGTAATATAATTGGTGAATTAATTCATGTAAGGAAGAAATAATTTATTTGTCCAGAAATTTTTTAAGCATCATATTTTTGGGTATTTGGAAGAGAAAAGTTGTGCAAGGAAAACGAGGAGCTTGAATATTAATTTGTTAATTAAAAAAGGTATTGCATCAGCTACTGCATCCACATAAAGCACTAGCTAAACTGAAAAGGAAAATAAATGCAATGTACCCTTGAAGCTTGCACCCACTGCATAAGCTTTAGACATCACTACTTCTGTCATATCAGCCCCATCAAATTTTGCATCTGACATGAGAGCCGCTGCTAGTGATTTACCCTTTAAGTTTGATTTCTCATTTGTGTAATCACAAAACCTTAGGTCAAGTGGCTTGTCATATACACCATTTGCTTGACCGATTGTGTTCCCAACAAATGCTCGTTCGCATCTGTTTGACTCTGTTGATAGAGGTGGAAGCCTCTGGAGAAAAAACAAAGGAGAGTAAATCAGTAGAAAAAAAAGTGACCAAGATCAAATGCTAAGATGAATTCAATTAGAAGGATATAAGCAATTACAGAAGTTATATATATATGGTTAGGATATAAGAGGTCCTTCACTTTTGCTTGATCTATCATGATCAAGCCTAGATTATATTCGAAAATATGGAAAGTGGTTTTTTAAGTCAAATGTCATAACCAATGACATAGAGATACTTCATTTTATATATGAAAACAATTTTTCAGGCAAACTATTTCATTCATTTTCCATCTACTAATCGACGAGTTGTGAGTGACAAATGATGTTTTGCAATCCATTTCTTCAAGTCTGCTTGATGAGTTTCAACATCATAATTAAATGGAGGAGAATTCTTCATACCTCTAAGTAATTAATGGAGACCATTCAATCAAGACATACATTTAACACCAATAGCATGATTTATTCTATCCTTTATATTTTAAAAAATATTTGTTCATTCATTTGAAATTTATTTAGACATATCTATTTTGAGATAATCTTTTTCTTATTGCTAATTCTCTTATAAATAAGAGCCTAAGGTTTATAATGGGATTATGAAGAATATTAAAAGAAGGTTTCACTTTCCTCCACCTTTCTCCCTCCCTCCCTCCCGACCCCTCCTAAGAGATTCCATTCTTTCTCTTACTAAATTTATCTCCCTCCCATGTCTCTAATTCGCCTCCCTCTGGTGTACTTCTTTAAATTCTACTTCTCATCTTCTAATGTGGGGTGGTTCTAACCCTGCACTACATCAATCAGCTTCTAATTATTTCCAACACAAGCAACTGCACCAGTTTTCCTAGCACGAATTCTAATGAATTAAGATAGACGATCCATAATATCGACGTTGGGTGTTTTTAAGAAGAATAAGAAAATCTACATAGCACCAACACGCCATTAGGTTAGTATGAATGGAACGGAGTCAAACTGAAAAGAATAAAAACATAAGATTGTCCGCACTTCCTACCTGATTTGCAGCAAAAACGGGAGAGGCAGCTGTCAGTGCCCAAGCAGCAAGCAAACCACATGCAACATTTCTCATTTCCTTAAACGAGCAACAAGAATCCATGCAACCGCACCTTTCCTCACGTGCTGAAGAAAACTAAAGAAATCATTAATTTTAGTTCATCAACGCATAACAGCTCGGAATTTTCTATTCGGTAACAATCACTAAACCAATAATCCAATAAAATGCCAAGAGAATTCAAGGGTTTTGAATTAGAGCAAGCTCATGAACCCAAAGAGAATAAAATCCCTCAGAGTCAGAATAGAAACTCCTCCCTCTGATTCCTAACTTCAAATTAACGCTTCTACTTCTAATTTGGGCGTGGATTAGATTAAATTGTTATGCGTGGAAAGAGATAGTAAGAAAACTCGATGTCGAATGAGAGACGAATATCGTACCGGTGCATTGGATGATCTGACTGGGGTATCGAATTTTTTTCGCCAGTGGGAAGCGAGGAGACTTGACGGCGGCGGAGGAGGAGATAGCTCCGGCAAGAGTGAGCGTCGCCATTTCTTTTCGGCAGGAAAAGCGCGCTTCTCAGCCTCTTATTTATCCTTTCCCTATCTCCGCAAAATTTTTCGTCTCAGTATATCTAAAATCGTATATATAGGGGCTGTTTGGCAACAAGCGGGATTTAACTTTAGTGGGATTTAATAAATCCTGTAAATACGGATTTAATAAATTCGAAATGTGTTAAATCCTAAAAATCGTTTGATATGTTAAATGTTAAATCTTGTTAAATCCTGAGAAACTGTTTGGAAACATATATCAGGATTTATGGCGGTTAGAGATTTAAGTTTAAAAGAGATATTTATGAAATTAAGATCATTGCATAAAACATAATAAAATCAATTTTAGGTCATATAAAATGACCAAAAATTCAATAAAAAGTTAATTACAAACTAACATAGACCAAAATGAGAGTTGAAATATTAAATAAGCTAATTATATTAATATTTAATTACTAATTATATCATTAATTAATTAATTAAGTTAAATTAGATAATTAATTTATGCACTAATTCTACTATTAATTATTTAATTAATTAACTTAATTATTATTTGTTTAAATTATATAAATTAAGTTAATCGATAATAACTTTGAGGCGTTTAATTTTAAAGGAGATATTTATGAAATTAAGGTTATTGCATAAAACATAATAAAACCAATTTTAGGTCATATAAAATGATCGAAAATTCAATACAAAGATAATTACAAACTAACATGGACCAAAATGAGAGTTTAAATATTAAATAATGTAATTATATTAATATTTAATTACTAATTATATCATTAATTAATCAATTAAGTTAAATTAGATATTTAATTTATGCACTAATTCTACTATTAATTATTTAATTAAATAACTTAATTATTATTTGTTTAAATTATATAAATTAAGTTAATCGGTAATAACTTTGAGGCGTCTAGGTTTGTATTTCATCTTTTCTTTTCGTCGTTGCTGTTCGGCTTCGTTGATTTGCAGGAGGTGTACAGATTGCGCGCGTCGCTACTTTGGTTCCTTCCTGGCTGTTCGACTTCGCTCCTTTGGCTTCGTTGATTCGCAGGAGGTGTACAGATTGCGCGCGTCGCTACGGTTCCTTCGTGGCTGTTCGACTTCGCTCCTTCGACGACTTTCCCTTCTTGTCGGATCGGAAGTTACGACATTTTGATCGGAAGCAAGAACAGGAGCTCGCTGGCTGTGAAGTTAACTTTCTCCCTTTCGCGCGCTTCTAATGTTAAAGCTCGTTAAATCAACCGAACCGAGGGATTTAGTAAATCCGGGATTTAAGCCATAAATCCGTAAATCCGGGATTTACGGAATCCCAGGATTTAACGCCCGCACAAAAACCGTTTGGCTGGATTTAGCGTAAATCCGACTTAAATCCCACGATAAATCCGATACCAAACAGCCCCATAGAGTGTAATTTATAGTAATATGTTTAGTGAGGGGATTATGACTTTGAGTGATCAACTCATTGATAAGAGTTCATATTTTAGATATTTTAAGTCTTCTTCAGACTGATGGTGAAATAGATGGGGATATTATTAATGGAATTCAAGTTAGATGGTTGAAGTGGAGGAATGCATTAGGCTTATTGTGTAATAGAAAAGTACTCGTCAAACATAGGGGAAAATTCCTATAAGATGGTGGTGAGATTTGAAATACTTTATGGTGCATAATGTTAGCCATTAAAAGCGAAGCATGATATTAAGTGTTGTAGAGATAAGGATGCTCAGGTGGATAAGCGGATTTACTCTTATAGGCAGAATATGAAATGAACATATACGCGAAAAGGTTGGAGTAGCTCCCGTGAAAGATAAGATTAGAGAGGGTCACATTAGATGGTTAGATCACATAAAACGACAGTCTTTCGATGATCTAATTAGGTAAATGGATGTATTGGATTTGGCTTATGTTAAGGAAGGTAGAGATAGACCTAAAAAGACTTGATTGAAAAATATTAGAAATAACCTTTAACTCTTAACATGACGCAATGGAGAAAAAGGATTCATGTAGCCAACCCCACATAGTGGGAATAGAGGCTTAAAGTTGTTGTATGACATAAATAAATATTCATAAATATTATCTTTTTATTATTGAATATTATGGCATTTTAAGAGGAAATGAATTTGAATAAGAGCATGAATGTGTGTGATTATTATATACACTTATTAATTTATCATCCTACCAATTTAAAAAAAAAAAAGAACTATGGTACTATAGAATTTACAATTTTTTTTAATTATGATGCCAAAATCTATGATGGCGAGTTTAATATTTAATCAACATGTTCCTACTAGCAAGATTGAGTACATTATAAAAACATAAGTTAACAAAATCCATTGGTCTTATGCTAATACTAATTATATTCTTTAAGTCACGTTGCATGATGATCCCCTTAGAGTTCAACCCATTCTTCACCTTATGTCAATGACCAATCATGTAGATATTTATCAGCCATGCATGGGATAAATTGAATGAGAACTATATGTATATTAACTATAAACACTTTGTAAAAAAATGCTTAATTTCATATTAAAAAATAACCAACTCTTAAGAAAATCATAACTCATTTCATGATGTAAATATAAAAAGGGACCAATTTTTATAACAATCATGCTAAGATTTTGTTCATTAACATCATATCATGTTACTTAGTCGTTTTGTTGTAGCTTCTTTTTATAAGTTGTACTTCAGAACCTATTAACCCCATACAAGAGAATTAACACCCTTATATTGTCAACAAATATTATTTCATAATAATATTTCCATTGCAACTATTCATTTTATTTTAAAAACAACGAAACATCATATTATATAGGCATTCTTTTCATGTCTTTCACATGTCATTTATGTTCATAGTAAGATTACAATATAATAATTATTATCATCATCATGATAAAACATAATAGGAGTTCTTAGCGAATATGTATAATAATGCCCATTTAAGAAGGATGAGAAGTATATTGACAATACAATAGCATTGCAAGAAACTTAACAACTAATTGCTATTATTCCCCTACCTTGAGTAGGTAAGAAGCTTTGGTGTATGCCCTTGTTCTTTTTAAAGTTATATTTTATTGGTTGTTGATCCCCATAATAGTAGAGTTATTTTCATGCATTTCATATTCAATAATTCATCCCTTAATGGCCTTCTTACTTCTTAAAATAGTGCCTTAAGAAACATAAACTTACTGCAACAGGTGGCTCCCCATATGTGGCAAGCTAAATTTTACACATCACACATTCTTGTGGTTTCCTTTTTAATATCATCCCACGTCGTTTCTTTATCAACATTTATATGCCCATGTGGACCACCTACCATATTTATTCTATTAACAATGATTGAAATATCATAACAACATCTAACATGTCACATCAGTAACAACATCTAGTCATTGCAGTATAATGATAAGTAGTGCTAGGGATAGTACAATTGAAGCTTTTAGTTTCATTTTGTCAATCCACTTTGCTAATACAAGTTTGGCATCCCAAATTATCTTCATGATATAGAGATTGTCTAACTAAATATATCTTGCATAAGTTCAAAATAGTAAATGGTTTGTTACTAATTAATGGTATCATGCTAAGCCAATCATCTTGTAGTTGGCCGTCCTTAATTCCCATTAGTCATATATCACGTCGAGTCCAATGGCCATCAAACAAAATTAGTTGACCAAGGCTAATAAGAAAAGTTTTTTTGGTCAAGTCATGTGTGTCTATATATACAACAGTTGTTCCTTGTTTGTCGACCTTTGCCAATTAAATTTATACGAAAATTTAACCCCCTTTTTTAATTCTCCATCATTACATTCACACAAAGTATCATCATAAAAATTTATTAAATGTTTCACCAAAGATGTTGGGATATCATTTGCGTATGTAAAAAGTTCTTATTACATTTGATTCTTTCATAAAATTTTTACCATTAGGATCATCTTATTGCAGAGTTTTTTTTGTCAAGCCAGACTTTTATTCAACTTCACCTCAGAACTAAGATTGTGTAAGCAATTATAATTCATCAAGGTTATTGAATCATATTTTGTTCGGTGGATGATGTCGAGTCTTACTTCAGGCCACCTGTGCATTAAGAGCCTGAGGGTGAAGGCGATGAAGTTAGAATACAAGAGGAAACGAGAGAGACGGTGAGAGAATACGTAGATCATGACAAAAGCTTTATTATCCCAATCAAATGTAAAAGAATAAACATATGTGAGGGCTTTGCGTTAGGAGTGTCAAAATATGTTTTCGGGTTAGGTTCGGGTCAAACTCTAAATTGACCCAATCTTAACATATTCAACCAGAATCCTACCCATTTGTCTAAATGGGTTAAAAATCTTGACCCAAACCGGATTGACACCAACTTAATCGACATGAACCGACCCATTTAACCCACAAGTGTGAGCACACGAGCGGGTGAGTGAGCTAGCAGGAGAGGCCGCAAGAGTGAGGTATAGCAGGCGAGGCTGTGAGGGAGGCATGCAAACACGAGTAGCGAGTGCGATGGATGAGGTGAGATTCGATCGAGTGAGGGAGGGTCATATGGATTGTTTTTTGGGTTCACGGGTTAACCCAAACCCAACCAGATATATCAACCAGGTCAAAAAATCAAACACAAACCTAACCCATTTATTAAACGGGTCAACCCGAACTTGAAATTTCTCAGGTCATATCTGGGTTAGATTTTTGGGTCATGTCATATATTGACACCCCTACTCTGTGTTGCAAAGCTTAAGCTAAGAAAAAGAAAAACAATACAACATATATTTCTCCTCAAAGATGGGAGTTAAAAAAGAGAGATCTGTCTTAGAGAGAAGTAGATATCATCTACTCTCTCTTTTTTCTCTTTTTCTTTTGCCTCTTTTTCATGTATGTGTTCTCCTACTCCCTTTTTATTGGACTCGGGGAGTTACCATGGATATCTATGAGATATAATAGTTATCTCGTCCATCTTTGATGTAGCTCAATCATTTGTGCTGATTGAAATGGCTAATACTACGAAAGGGGGTGCGAGTAGGATGAACATGTGGATTGAGTCGGAGTTGGTAGGCAGCCGGTCTGAGGTCGGCCCGTTGAG